AAATGTGAGAAACGAAACAATTTATTTTGTAAATTGTTAGGGATGAAAAAATTTGTTTTATGAAATGTGAGGGACTATGAATCAAATTATGTAAGAATTTTATTTGACAATTTTGCCCTTAAAAAATGATCACATGCAAGTCACGTGATAGATTCCGACCAAAAACTAGTCGGAAACCTAAGTAGGGACCAAATTTGGTCAATGTGAATTTGTAAGGAATGTAAAATTACACTTTTAAAAGTGAGGGACGAAAAAAGTCATTTTGTAAAATATGAGGGATATTTTGAACGATTTTCCCTTGTAGAATTGGGTAGTATTTGTACATATGGTAGAACTGTTCTTTTGGAAATGATTTTTTTTTAAAACGTAATTGCAGCATAATTAGTACCAAGTTCCTGTGGATGTCTTTGACTTGGAATTAGGCAAGAAACAAATTCCTTCGCCATTTTCGCATGTTGATGCAATATGGCCCAAGATGCGGAAATCATCATGACAAACAAATAACGTGCATTTGATCTTTTCATTCTACTTTTCGTGTTTCTATGTCCCTTTCATACGAGGATAGCTTAGGACAAATCTCCAAGGAAGCTATAGCATAGCAGGGTTAACCCTAAAGCATTTGTTCTTTTCGAAACAGTGATTTCTGCGATTTTTGTCCATAATTGCTCAGTTATTTCAACTATAAGCACCTGGACCTCTTTCAGAGAAACTCCCCGCCCTACACTTAAACCCCCCCCCCCCCCCGGGGGCGCCTCTCTCTCTCTCTCCCCAGAAAAAGGGAAAGTAAGATTATAATGGACTATCCAAAGATTTTTTTTGGCATGTGCATGTATGCCAAATAATCCAGGATTCCGTCAAAAATATGAATATATTATATATGAAAATTTTCATGAAGAGTAGTTTTTTTTGCTTTGAGCATCCAGTATCCCCAACCTAAGTAAGACTAATTCGGATTCGATTAGGGAGTGCCTGCAGAATCCGACTCTTATTCAGGGGTAAAGGTTTGGTCCAGAACTTTTCAGGTGTCATATGTAGGAGTCGAACTTGTAACCTCCCGTTAGCATTAGCAACCCGCTTATCAACTGCTCCAATCTCATGGGTTTATAAAGAGTAGTTTATTGCTAGTACACAATCATATAGACTCGATTGCTTTCCCCCCCTTCTTTTAAAGCACTAACGTCCCACTTTTATCCTAAATTCGTGAAGGAAAAGAAAATGTCAAGGAAAATAATCTGTTTTCATATATTCTTCCATACATTATTGAAAAATCAAATGAGGACTTGTTTTGCAATTATAGTATTTGAAAGTCATGAATAGCTAAAATGCATTGTTCACAATCTATTCTTTTCAAATAATTCATCCATTGTTTTCTCACCAACAAAGACAATGAAGAATTTTCCAAGTATTGACAAATCATGATTAATTAAGGTTGGACTCATTAAAATAAGTTTATATTACCCTTTTCTGTTTTTGGTTTGCACGTGTTTTTGTTTCATATGGAACATGTCTTCTGTTGTTTATCTTATACTGGAGTATGGAAGACTCTTCAAAGTTCCAGATTAGTTATATTGTTCAGTAAGATTGACTAGTTTACATGTGAAGTTGCACAACATTGCTTCTGGAAAACGGTCTATTTCTTCAAACGAACAAACACTTTTTCTGTTCTATAGCTTATTTGCTTCCTTTTTACTCCGTACTACTTTTCTCCCTTCAATTTCTTTATGTTGTATTAGTCTTTCAAAAATTTGAAGACACGCGGAGGGCTTGCTTGTATGTCAATTTGGAATTCACTATAATTTAGTTTTTCTTAATTAGACGCTTAGGCAATGAAATTAAAGATGGATTACAGGCGTCTGTCCTCTATACAGTAACCCTATCCATGCACATATTCCAGCATCTTCAAGCTCTTAGACTAGAAAATAGTTGTTTGTCCGCATGCTGTAAGTTTTTTATGGCTTTGATCGGTTTTCTGAATCTTGAACCCTGATTCGTTAACAATACGTCCAAAAAGAATCCATAAACTTGAAGATAATGATTGCATGGGGTCTATAAATCAACTTTTGGCTTGTTCTTCATGGCCTGGTCATTGGCTTGAAGGAGTCTTTATTACACAAACTCATTTGTCCACTACACAAATTTGGTACAAAGGTTAGTGCTCCACCACCAAGGTTTATGTTCAAAGAAAGCAATCAAGTAGCTTCGCATTATAGTAAAAGGAAGTAATTGAGACGGTAACATCACTTATTTGAACGTTGAAATTAATCCAAGAAACTTTTGGCTTTCCGGTTATCTTTATCCACCCCCTTTGGGCATAGTCTATAGAGCGTCTAAATACTGCAACTTGCTTCTATTTGCCAAAAATCACCACTCTATTGTTTTACTATTCGGATGTTCGTTCGGGTTGTATTGATTTATTTCCATAAGCATAACGATGAAAAATTATTAGAGAAGTTAACAAGTTTATCCAATGCTTTATATCTAAATAATTTCGTATACATTATTGTTTTCTGTTTTGATGCTGTTTTCGGCTTTATTAACGTAGGTTGTGTAGCAAAATCCCCATGGCTGAGTACTGATGACTGCTTTCTACATAAAACAAATGTGTAAACACAAACTTTTAATCCCTCCTTTGTCTTGAAACCTTTGCTGAATAGCAAATTGTATTCGCAATATCAGTAGCCGCTAATTAACTTTTTATCTGTGATCACTTTGCCCGCTGATGAACTACTCTTTTTCTGTTTTGTGATAGTTGCAGAATTAGGCCCTTTTTAAGACGTTTTTCTCTTATTCAAATAATTCATTGTTTTCTTCCCCTTCCTCCCCCCCCCCCCACTCCACACCAAACCCAAAAGAATTGACATTTAAAAAACCCAATGGAGCTGGCACAGTCTATCGGTTGCAAACTTGTTGCAGGTGTGCACAGGATCCTCTTTCTAAGGGGCAATGCTTTGTTCGGGTCCGTATTACAATTCTTGATACTCTACACTACACATCTACACGCCCTTTCCTCGGAGAGGTGGGCCAAAACAAAATGATAGTCTACAATTTAATTAATGACAAACAACAAGAGTTAACATCAATTAAGGCTGAAAGGTCTAAAAGACAACAAATCATAATTTTGTGGGTCGTAGAGAAGTTGTAGAAAAAGAAATGTCAGTCAATGCAGCAGCGTTCACAACTCATTGAGCAACGGGTGGTTGCGAATTTTATTCCCACTTGCTTGTTTGGATAAACACACCCGTTTTTTTTTTTTTTTTTATTAACACGCCTGTCTGTGTAAGATGATTTCTGCATGTCAATTGCCTTTGCTCAAGTCATCTCTTAGTATTTGCAATTTGAATTAGAGCATTTCTTCATGAGAAAATATTTGTATGGAGGATGAGTCATGGCTGTGAAAATATAATTGAAAGTAAATGTCAACAATAAAGTCTCCGTTATTATTGATTTTTTAAGGAAAGAAAAAGACAATCATCCATGTTCTATGACGTATGCAGGAGTTTTTTTTTTTTTATGTAAAAAGCAAATTTCATAATCAATTATTGGAGATCGTCCAACTCGATTTGATTTATATTGCTACCCTAATGATATGTTAAACATGCATTAGAATAACATATCAATTTGCAATTCAACAGATACAATATATCTAAAAAATTTTGAATATAACTGAAATATACAAGAAATTTTTAAATTGTCTTTTAATTAATGAAATAAATCGCTATCACTCCCTTTTGTGCATAGTGCAAACGTCAGTCAGTCAGATCGGTTGATCAACGACTTGTAGGTCACAAACATCGATGGCTAACCTAAAAATAAATTGAATAATTCTCCACGCACTGTTCTAACTTTTGCAAAATTTAGTTTCATCTCTCACTGGGTTTAGATTGGTTTCAACACACGACCGTCCTCCATTTTCCGTACTTTCCTTTTCAACTTTTCTAGGATAGTTGTTATTTAAGGAACATCTTACTAAGTCCAAGATAGAGCAAATCGATGAAATATTAGGAGATCATAATTTAAGCAATCTTGATTATAGCTTTCTATAGACATCGTTGAATTAATCATTAGGGGCTGATGATTTTTTTTTAAAAAAAAAAAAAGGTGAGGGCACATTTTTCACATATTTTGTTGGATCATTAGAATTTTGGCCAGTAGCCAAATTGTGTATTTCTGTTCTGAAAACCTCATTGTACCATATGTTCATCCAGTTCTAAAAGGGCAAAAAAGAAATAAAAAAAGAAGGTATCCATCCCATTTAAGTTCGGGTATGTTATTGCAGAAGTACTAAAACGTAGTTGACAAAAGGGGGCCAAAAAAAAAAAAAAAAAGCTTTTTGAACTTTACCAAACAACTAATAAACTCTTGCATAGCTTGGTTGAGAAATCCCAAATTTTTTTTGAATCAATTGGGTCTTCATTTATTTAACCATTCGGTGAGCTCGGCAATTCATACACCCTGTCTTAGCGTCTTCATTCTTCAATAATGGAAGGTCGGTTGTTGCTGCCATTTCACTCTCACCTGCTTATCCTCATCTCCTCAGCTCCAATTACTTATTTTCATCATTTAAAAGCTAAAAAATAAAAACAAGTTCCAACTTGATTACTTTGTTTTTGTACTTTGGAACCTAAAAAAAAAAAAAATCCTAACCTAACCTACAACAAAAGGGAAAGTCCCAATTTCCCTGGCCAAAAGAAGATACCTTCAATTCCTTCCCTAAGGACCCTATCCAAAAAAAAAAAACAAGAGATATCCCCTACCATATCTGCCCATTACTACTACAATAAAATATCTTGCTTTTAGACTTTTACCATCGGTCAAATCACGCCTATAATCAGAGATCCAAGACCCTTTCAACCCAAAAATTAGCCAGCAAAAAGTCTCCCCTACTTCCCTGGTTAACGTCTTAAAATTGTTAAACCCCCCCCCCCCACCACCATAAAAACGCCACATTCCTTAACTCACTCCTCCTTACTTCTCTTTTCTTTTCTTTTCTGTCTCTCCAAACTCCTTTCACTTTCTAGTTTCTAACCGCTATCCATGGGGAGAATAACGACGTTGAGAGATCTCATAGGAGTTATCAAAGACAAGGCTTCAGCATCCAAAGCCGCTTTTGTTTCCACCCCTGAAACAATCTCCCTCCGCCTCGCCGTCCTCCGTGTCACCGCCCACATGCCCTCCACGACGCACCAAACGACAACCACATCTCCGCCCTACTCGCCCTTGGAGACAGCTCACGCACCACTGGCCTCCGCCCTCATCTCCTCCCTCATGGACCGCCTCCACCGCACCAGCAACTCCACTGTAGCGCTGAAGTGCCTCCTAACCCTCCACCACATCATTAAGCGTGGACCCTTTATTCTTCAAGACCAGCTTTCTATTTTTCCTGCCGCCGGTGGATACAACTACCTCAAACTCTCCTCCTTCCGCGACGGTGCGATTTCACGTGGGTTTTGTCTGCATGGGTGAGATGGTACGCGCGTTACATTGAATCCCTGCTCTCAACTTCTAGGGTTTTGGGTTACTTCTTGGGATCAAGCTTCATGCAGCATGGAAAGAGATAAGCAAGAAGAAAGAATTTCATCTTTTTGAGTCAAGATTTAGTCAGAGACATTGATTCATTGGTTGGAATGATGAAGAAATATGCAAAGGACCTGATCCGCAGCTTTGTCGAAGGGAACAAGTTATTGTACGAGGTGATCAATTTATTGAGGCAATGATTATGTTGTCGGCGGTTAACGAAATTCTGTCACGGCCAGTGAGTTCAATCTGCGACTCAGCGGTCTGAGTTTCGCTGAGTCGGTCGAGTTAGTATGTGCCCTAAAGAGATTAGAAGACTGTAAGGAGAAATTATCATTGCTATTTCCAGTCAAGAAGCCTTCCACGGAGAATTTATGGGTCTTGGTTAGTGAATTGAGAGAAAAGACTGATAAATTGAAGGTGTACAAGGAGGAAAAAGAAGTTGTTAACATGGGGAAAATGTGACAAGGGAGTGAGTCAGCTCGGTTTGTGATGAAGCGGGATGACTCGGTTCAATTTTCTTCGGGGAGACTCGGTGGAAATAAATTGCTTTGTCGTGGTGGAATCCGGTACCACTGATCCGTATTGTTGATTGAGATTGAAAGATGTTGTAATTTTGGAGTTAGATACCTCCACGTTTTGTCCATATTAAACCAGTCAACTAGGTTTGTGATGACTGATGTGTACATATACATGTAGCCAAATCATATGGAACGTCTTCTTCATTATAGGGTGAGATTGAATTTTGATGTATACATGCAACCTAGATTCACGATTTTAGCAGAAGTTTTGGTTAAATAGGCTCTCAAATGAAGCTTCTTGAATTCCACAAAGAACATTTGAGTATTACAGTTTAATGAAGCATAACTTTTGAAGGTCTTGAAACCTTGAATGATGAACTAATTTTGGTAAATATGCTTTATTTTCTTTATTCGATTGAATACTTTGTTTTCCTGTGTTGTGTCAAAGAACTCTCTTTAATTTTCATCAAGGACAATGAATTGTTTTTTTTTTTTCCTAGTAGAAACTTTAGTATAAAGCTAAATCGAAACGTTGAAGATTCAAATAAAAGGCAGGAATAGTTACTAGAGGGAAAAAGGGTATCCAACAAAGAAATATCTACATATCTTGCCTTCGAAACAGAATCCAACTGGGACGTGAGTTCAGACCTTTCTGATCAATTGGGGCATTAAATTCATTCACTACAAATGTTGAAATCGAGCAGAAAATTAGGTGCATGTAACACTGCTGTCATGTTGGCATCTAAGTTATCTATCTGGACCATGTCAAGATGAGCTATTTATATTTCTCGATGACTTGGTTCTCTGCACACTATTGTGTGCACGTTTTCCACACTGTCTATGTCCATTCTTATTAGTATTTTCTAGATCCAAAAAGGCAATTCCTGATATTACTATTTGTGCATATTATAAAAATTTAAAATAATAATAATAGATAGTAATTAAATATCTAGGGGACACCATTTTTTATGCATTAAGATTCAATTTAGTTGGTATAGAGATTAGTATAGTAATCACGAGATTTTTTTTTTGACTTTCAAACCCTTCCCTTTCCCCTACCACTTATAAGATTTGAAATCTCTTTTGAAGAAAATGTTACATGTTGATTCTTAATTCTGTCAGTAGTTATACTTCCTATCTAATATAAGGGACAAGGTAAGGTAGTTATAGTGATCTATCTTTCTCTTATAAGAAATAATAATATCCTATTAAAAAAGGATTAAGTAATCTTGATTTTGATTTTATTATATTATTGCTGTATTGTTGTAGTTTTTTTAGAATTGAATTGTCGTAGTTTGTCAATTTCTGCCTCAACTTGCTATGAATTTTCAATATTTTTGTTTCCAAGTGACAACGATTGTTAGAATAAATATGCCCCGCCCCACTAGTAATGATGACCTTTCGTGAAGAAAACTCATTCTCTAAGAAGTATTTAATTTCTAGTTGCTCGAACAACTACATAGATAGCATAGTACTTAAATAATTTTAGGAATCATGTTGGATGTTTACAATTAACTCAAACAATTAATATATTCATTTGCTAATCATGTATTTCAGCAATTAGTTGAAGGAACTTAATTCAGCGCTAATAGCATATAATAAGATCATAAATAGGAAAAGTAGGTAACATGTCGTCCCCAATCTACCTGTATTACATTCTTGAAAATTGGACTGCCATAAAAAAAAAAAAGGAAAGGATAACCTTCTTTTCCCTGCTATAAAATTGGACCACCATGAATAAATTGATGTGCCTTAATTTTTTTCACTTGCTCTCTCTTCTTTTTTGTTTTTTTTTTTTCAATTAGTCGTCGTTAGATGTGAATTTGACATTTATATGTAGAATTATGGATGACCCATTGTCGGCAGCAAGCAGTATTCTTCAAGTTAAAAAAAAAAAAAACCAGAAAGAATGTAGGTTGATCACTTCTCATCCGGTAGCTTAGGTCAATATTCAATATCAAAATTGAAACAAGGGACCAAGGGCAGGTTAGGAGAATTCTCAAACTGTCAGATGTCAGAATTGGCTCAAGAAAATTTGGAGCAAAACATGCTTTCAAACAACTTGAGTTGCAACTTTGTACCCTCTCTTGCATAAGCATGTAAGCCTTTGTTACACTGTGCACCTAAAATAACACTTTTTCTTTTCTTTTTAGAAAAAGGAAAGAGATTAAGGTTTTTCACACTAACATTGTATGAATTTTATTATACTAGCATGTCTGGAAGTGTGCCACTTGATCTTTATTTACATTTGAAGTTTAAGCTTGCACATTTGGCATGTATCTGCACCCGCTAATTTAAAAACTGTTAACGTAAGAAAAGCTTGTTTTAGTTTTATTTTATTTTTATTTTTTAAAAAAAAAAAGAGCCACAAGATCGTTAGTCTGGGCTGTTGCGCGAACTTAAGGTCCAAAACTAGTAATTGTTAGGAACTTAAGGTCCAAAACTTAAGGTCCAAAACTAGCACTCCTCAGAGTGATGGATGATTTGTTTTCTATTACAAAATAGTAGTAATATTTTGGCTTGTATTTTCAGCTTTTCTTGTTACAAAGATCCATGTTTTTCCCCTTTCTTTCCAATGATTGAGTGGAAGTAATTCTTTCACTTGTGACTCCAACAGTTGGCCAATGCTCATTATACATCGATATAATCTTCAAAGGCTGGATTGCCCCAAAAAGGGCAAAAAAAAAAAATTCATAAATTCAACTTATAAGTCATTATCACTCACTTGTTACAAGTAATGCACAAATTTTCTTTTCAAAGGACTTGGTTATGATACATTCACCAAAAGATACAAGTAAACTTTTTGACCACTCCCTACCAAAATCGGATATCAAAGGAACAAACAAATCCACTGGTCATGTTTCTAAAATCTCTCTTCCCTCTCTCCGCTTCTTAAATCCCGCCCCTCCTCTACTGGAAAAAATTAAAAAGAAAAATCATTCCTCACCTTCATGAAGGATGAGCTTCCCTATACAGTGGTTTTGCGCCTTTGATCCTAAACTAGTTTGAAGTTTCGGCTTCATTACACAGTGAGATAGCCCCTTGAATTCATATTAGGATGCATAAGAGCTTATTAAGCCAAGACAGTCCACTTCTTTATGTGATTGCTTGCTTTCTGGCGCCTGCAAATCCAAAAAGGAATGAAATTAGAATGCATGGTTATGGTAGCCTAGCAGGCAATTTTGGTATACACTTTGCAGAATTGAGAAGGAAAAAAGCTCTAGCATTTAACCAAATATTTAGTGGCAGAAACAAATGGCAACAGAAAATTTGGGCAATTGCTTTAATTTACCTCTTTTCCCAGTCACATCGAGCAGTAATGATGACTAATATTAGTGTCTGAAGTACCGTTCCTCCGAATATCATTCCAGCCCAGATGCCCTGTTCATTATCATTAATCACAGCTAACTCAAAAGTGATTAAGGTAAAAATTGGTTTGTCTTGGTTTGAGATTAATTACTTAAATATTTAATGACTTCTCAAGTTAGTTTCTTTAGCACAGGTTCAGAGGATAGGTTTCAACATTTATTGGATCCATCAATTATTGTAGGGCCAAACATAGTTAGTATTAAGTGCAAGAGAAATTTATTGTCAAGAATTTGGCAACTGCAAAAATTTGGTGGCCATCATGATTGTTCAGTTCCATCATGGCTACGTACCATAACTCCTTGGTGAAAAACCCATTCCATTGTGAGTCCAAGTGGAAATCCAACCAAGTAGTAGCAGGCAACATTTACACAAGCCACTTGTGATTGCCATCCGGATCCAACTGCTACCCCTGCAATAGAAAACAAAATCAGACGGTATCCAATCAGAATAAATTCTAAAACTGTTGAAAAAACAAATTATTATTAGCAATAAAGAAGGATTCATTTTTTGTGTGCTAACAATATAAAGATTTTTTTATTGTTAGCTACCAGGTGTAAATGCACGTCACATATGTAAGGAGTAAATTTCAAATTTAAATAGAGATTACGAGATATTCAACTAAACCTGATAGTATAATGAAATTCAACACTGACAATATATAAAAAAGTTAATCAAACAAAACATTTAGTATAAAATAGCAACTAATATAAATAAAAATTAACTTCCAATTAATTGACATACCAGATAGAACTGGTTGAATACTGTTGAGGAGAATAGTGACGGCTAAGAGGACAGTGAGTTGATTCACTGCATCCAGCACGGGTTTGCTTGAGGAGAAAATTAAACCAATTTCATTGTGGAAAATAATTATTATGAGGCAGAAGAAAAGCCCAATTATGGTAGAAGTCGCCACAGAAACAATAGTAGCAAATCTTGCTCCTTTCCCATTTCCTGCTCCCAACTCGTTAGCTACTCTTACTCTGCACCATAAGCATTCACAATACGGTTACGACTGAAATTCATAAGAGTGTGCAAAATTAAAAAATTCCGATTTACTAATTAAATTCAAATTGAATTCGAAATTTTTGAAATTGGTAATTCAAAATTCATAACTGAAATCAGGTTTTCCAATTTCGAATTATGCGAACTTGGTT